GAGTGGTGTAAGATGAGTGGTGTGTGATGAGTGCTGTATGATGGGTGGTGTGTGACGAGTGGTGTAGGATGAGTGGTGTGTGATGAGTGGTGTGTGATGAGTGTTGTGAGATGAGTGGTGTGTGATGAGTGGTTTGTGATGAGTGGTGTGAGATGAGTGGTGTGTGATGAGTGGTGTGATGAGTGGTGTGTGATGAGTGGTGTGTGATGAGTGGTGTGTGATGAGTGGTGTCAGATGAGTAGTGTGTGATGAGTGGTGTGTGATGAGTGGTTTGTGATGAGTGGTGTGTGGTCAGTGGTGTGTGATGACTGGTGTGTGATGGTCGGTGTAAGATGAGTGGTGTAAGATGAGTGGTGTGTGATGAGTGGCGTGTGATGAATGGTGTGTGATGAAAGGTGCGCGATGAGTGGTGAGTGGTGTAAGATGAGTGGTGAGTGGTGTGTCCCTTTCGATTTCGCTGCAGGGGCGACGACGCGTCCACCCCTCAATCTGCACCCAACAGGCACCCTACCACGCGTCCACCCAGTCCTCCTGCAGGCTCTGCGCACTGCGCCTGAAACGAAATCTGCACTTCAGGTTCAACAAGCGCTGCGCCTGCCAGGAAATCTACACGACAGGCAGCCGCGGGCCAGCGGCGACCACGCGTCCACCCAGTCCTCCTGCAGCTCTGTGTACTGCGCCTGCCACGAAATCTGCACTCCAGGTTCACCAAGCGCTGTGCCTGCCACGAAAACTACACGACAGGCAGCCGCGGGCCAGCGCCGACCACGCGTCCACCCAGTCCTCCTGCAGCTCCGCGTACTGCCCCTGCCGCGAAATCTGCATGCACTCCAGGTTCACCAAGTGCTGTGCCTGCCACGAAATCTACACGACAGGCAGCCGCGGGCCAGTGGCGACCACACGTCCACCCAATCCTCCTGCAGGCTCTGTGTACTGCGCCCGCCACGAAATCTGCACTTCAGGTTCACCAAGTGCTGCGCCTGCGGCGAAATCTCCACTCCAGTTTCACCAAGTGCTGTGCCTGCACGAAATCTACATGACAGGCGGCCGCGGGCCAGCGGCGACCACGCGTCCACCCAGTCCTCCTGCAGGCTCTGTGTACTGCGCCTGCCACGAAATCTGCACTCCAGGTTCACCAAGTGCTGTGCCTGCGGCGAAATCTCCATTCCAGGTTCACCAAGTGCTGTGCCTGCCACGAAATCTACACGACAGGCAGCCGCGGGCCAGCGGCGACCACACGTCCACCCAGTCCTCCTGCAGGCTCTATACTGCGACAGGCAGAGTGATGTAAGATGAGCGGTGTAAGATGGGTGGCGCGAGATAGGTGGTGTAAGATGGGTGATGTGAGTTCAGTGGTGTAAGATGAGTGGTGTAAGATGGGTGGTGTGAGATCGGTGGTGTAAGATAAGTGGTGTGAGTTGAGTGGTGTAAGATGAGTGGTGTCAGATGAGTGGTGTAAGATGGGTGTTGTGAGATAGGTTGTGTAAGATAGGTGGTGTGAGCTGAGTGGTGTAAGATGAGTGGTGTAAGTTGAGTGGTGTGAGATCGGTGGTGTGAGTTGAGTGGTGTGAGATGAGTAGTGTAAGATGAGTGGTGTAAGATGGGTGGTGTGAGATGGGTGGTGAAGATGGGTAGTGTCAGATAGGTGGTGTGAGATGAGTAGTGTGAGATGGGTGGTGTAAGATGGGTGGTGCAAGATAGGTGGTGTGAGTTGAGTGGTGTATCATGAGTAGTGTCAGATGGGTGGTGTGAGATGGGCGGTGTAAGATGGGTAGTGTAAGATGGGAGGTGTAAGATGAGTGGTGTAGGCGGGCGGCGGAGGAGGCGGCGGCGGCGGTGGAGTGCAGGGCGAAAAACAAGAACCCCACATAGTGATGTGGGGAATCCCAGACGCTCATGGACCCTCCTGAGTAGGGGCCGTACCCTCATATGGAGGGGTCCGGACCCTCAAAGGCCTGGTTGATAAAATTTGTTGGGTTCCCAAATAGAATTTGGCAATGTCCAGTACATGTTCCGATGTTAGAACGACTTTAGGGTGAGCTCCGTGTCCATTTCTTTGGGGGTCAAGATTCCGAACTGTTGTGGATGAGCTAATTAAGGCTCAGTCACATTAAGGCAACAAAAAGTACAATCAGGTTCGGCACCCTTTCACAAGCAGTATCATGGCGGGAGCGTCCAAAAAAGCGTCCAGTGGCGCTGTCTTGGTGTGTTTTTCCCCAAAACAGTGTGGCCACACTATAGGGGTTCTTAAGGTCTTGTATGTCGACTGATTTCACAGTCGCAGATCTCGACAAAACTGGAGCTACACCCTCCGCCTCCGAGATATAGGTTCGCACATGGCCGTCAAACCACGAACAAGCTCTTGGGTCTCCACCACAGGCCCTTGCCGAGTTCGCCAGGAGTTGCTTGATCACCTGGAAATCGCCCTGGTGGGGTCAGAGGCGTACCATCCGGCAATTCCAAGAAGTTTGTTACATGGTGCAACATGCCCAGGTGCTTGCGCATGGTCTGGTACCCAGACTTCATGACATTCTTCGTGTCATCAGGGGCCTCTTTCTGAAGCTCCGAAATCTTCAACTCCTCGGGCTGGAGCTGCAGGCGCAAAACATCTTGGACTTTGCCGTTCAGCGCCTTCAAAAGCTTGAGTGCCTGTGCAAGCTTGCGAGGCTTTCCTGGCATCTTCTTGGCTTTGTACAGCCACTGCAGCACACCCTCAACCTTCTGCACAGCGTTCGTAGTCAAAGCCGCAGGTCCATGACAACTAGCCAGCCGACCTGTCAACTGCACCGACAACATAAGAAGGAAGGAAGTTGTTTTTCTCTCAGAATTTTTGTGCAGGAAAACGCCAAAGCAGGCCGGGTGTCTAATCGGGGGTGTTCATCGGCACGTCCGGCTAATTCGCTGCTACAAGTATTTCCATGAGAGGTGCAGGAGTTTCCTGTCGATGCGCAGATTTTGTGGCAGATGCAAGCTCTGACTTCGTGGCAGGTGCAGTGAATCGTGACTTTTGGATTGGGCTTTGCCCCGGCACAGTAACAATGACCACAAATCATACCAGAAAAAACACAGCAGTTTAGCCATGGTTTGCATTAGGATGACTTTCATTTGCCTTTTTAACGCTGGCTACAATAGTCATGTACCACAAACCCCTTAAGTGAATCGGGTGCCCATTTTCATCTGAGCGCATCCACTCGCAAAGTGATCGAAAGTTTTGATCCACTCAAAATGGTCTGGGAGTTCTGCCAAAACATCATATGGCAGGCCTGGTAGAAGGGCTGGCTCTAGAGGGAGACCTGTGGGCGGCCCCGGAAGTTCCAGGCCCAGGGGGGGGCCTCCCTCATTAAACAAAAAGAAAACTGGTGGCCCGCTCTTTAAAGGAAAATGGAAAGGAACACCAAAAAAAAGCACGCACACACACACACAAAACTGACCACAACTTTGTCTGTTTTTGGTGTTCATTTTTGTGGTCTGATTTGTGTGTGTTTTTTCTGTGCTCTTTTTAGTGGTCGCATTTGTGGTTTTTGTGGTATGACTTGTGGTATTTTTTGTATGTTTTTGTGGTATGATTTGTGGTCGCCTTTCTGGTTCTTTTGTGGTATGACTTGTGGTATTTTTCTTGTGGTATGATTTGTGGTCGCGTTTGTGGTTTCTTTGTGGTATGACTTGTGGTATTTTTTGTTGCATTTTTTGTGGTATGATTTGTGGTCGCGTTTCTGGTTTTTTGTGGTATGACTTGTGGTATTTTTGTGGTTGTGTTTGTGTTTTTTTTGTGGTGTGACTTGTGGGTTGTTTGGTGTTTCTTGTGGTATGATTTGTGGTCTTTGAATATAGAATCAAAGGGGAGTGGCAGGACGAAAGGCCATGCGCATTGACTTTTGTGGTATGATTTGTGGTCGCGTTTGTGGTTTTTGTGGTATGATTTGTGGTCGCGTTCGTAGTTATTTTGTGGTATGACTCGTGTGTTTTTTTTGTGGTATGATTTGTGGTCCAGGGCGGAAGACAACCACAAATCAAACCACAAAAACAAAAACAAAAAAGATGCACAGGAAATTGGACAATGTTTTTGATTGGGTGGGGCGCCGGGAGCGACGGGGTGGGGAGCCGGGAGCCAGAGGGTGGGGAGTGGGGAGCCAGAGCCAATTTGGACTTGGCTCTCATCCTGCTCCCAGTGTAATCACAATCTTCCTTTCCCTCCTTTCCCTCGATTCTTTCCTCTTTCCTTTGGCTGTGAGAGCATGAGCAAAAGATTAATCTTGTGGTAAGTAGGGTCAATCATTCTTTGAATTGCCACTTGAGGTTGACCAGTTAGTGAAGGGATGATGTTGGTTGCTTTTGGTTTGCAAATATGTTCAGATTTGTGTTCTTTGGAGTTAACCCGCCCCCTGATCCAATCATTTTGCATTTCCTAGACCAGAAATTGCAATCCAAGTTCCCCAAATGACTTTGAATATGATTGTAGTTTTTGGGGGTGTGGTTTAAGGGCCCTGACCCTTTACGACTGTTACTGTGGGGTGGGGGGGCAGGGCCCAACTTTTGGACATGTGGTTTGCTTTCAGAGTTCGGAGGAAGCCTCGAGCGAAAGCTACGTTTTGGTGTCTTTGGAAATGCTCTGGCTGCGAATCGCCTTGGCAGGGCTGTGCGATGTGAATCTTGATGCGCTGAGTTCGTGGCAGGTGCAATACTTTGTGGACCTTGAAGTGCATTTTCGTGGCAGGCGCAGCACTTTGAGCTTGAGGACCTTGAAGTGCAGATTTGGTAGCAGGCGCAGCGTTGCCTTGAAAAGTGCAGATTTCGTGGCAGGCACAACACTTTGCGCTTGAAGCGCAGATTTCGTGGCAGGTGCAGTACTTTGTGGACCTTGCATTTTCGTGGCAGACGCAGCACTGGTAGCAGGCGCAGTGCTGCCTTGAAAAGTGCAGATTTCGTGGCAGGCACAACACTTTGCGCTTGAAGCGCAGATTTCGTGGCAGGTGCAGTACTTTGTGGACCTTGAAGTGCAGATTTCGTGGCAGGCGCAGCAAATGTGCTCTCATATGTGTGCTCATGCGTGTGCTCTCCTGCGCGTGCTTCGACATGGCCTTTCAAATGCGCGTTCTCTAGACATCCCACCTCTAGACTATCACCACCATCACCATCACCACCATCATCACCACCACCATCACCACCACCGTCACCCCTATCTGGAACCCAATGCGTCTAGGTCTCTAGACTTCTACACCTCTAGACCTTAGACCTTTAGACACACTGTTTGGGGTCTCTTGCCGGAATAATCTCTGACTTGGCTGTGGGTCAAAATCCAAAGCCCCAAACCCTCTGTAGTCTGTTCATTTTCGGTGGTCAACCAGTGTCCCGGTGTTGACCAAAAAAACTTGATGAATGAGCAGTGTGGCATTTGGAACAACGATCGTTGTGATCTTCGTGCCTATCGAAGACGTTCAATCCATGCCATCACCCCTGAAAAAAGGGTTCCATATGGTTCCATACTAGATCCAAAATGATCAATTTGAATTGCTCCAATCATTCTGCCTGGAACTCCATGCAATCTGATCATCTCTGGTCATATCTGATGCTGATCACCACAGTCTCCTTCTCACCCGTCTACCGGTCTCCCAGGTCTCCCCGCTCGCCGGCACCGTGGAAGGCCACGCGCAGATTCTCGTAGGTGCTCGCCTGCCGTCCGCGCCGCGGAGTCGACGGTGCGTGGGACTGAAGAGTGGGCTCGTGCCCAATCCAAGAGAGGAAGGACCCGAAGGTTCGCCTATCCCAGTTGGGTACCCCAGGTATCCTATTTACGGTCACTGGCGACCTGGGATTTTTGGGCGATTTGAATTCGGGGTGTCTCCTACTAGGCCAGTCACAGGTCGGTTTGCCCGGTACCGACCGACCGGACCCTGCGGCGCTGCGGGCGACGCGACGGGTTCTGTGGAAGAAGGCTGAGCAGGTGTTCATGCCGCCCCCGAGACGCACCGCAACTAGCAGCTGGGGTATGACAAGTCCCAGCACAAGATGTTCAAACATAGAATCGTGGGACCCAAAGGCAAAAGGCCCAGAGGCACGGCAAACGGATGAATAGGCTTAGGAGAAAGCTGGACGAACGAGATGGGATGGAAACCAAATGGGTGTGGATGGCTAGCAATACGGTGTCCATGTGCATCATACTCGTATTCTATGAAGGTGAATCCTGAACTCCAAGAAACCTGACGAGGATGACCAGGAAGACCTTGACCAAGCAAAAATTGGAACAATACTAACCAACCACTGAGCACCGCGGTAAACAACGATTTGCAAGAATGACTCACCACACGTTCTCCAAAGTGTAGGAAGCACTGCACACCACGACGAGTCGCCCAACTTCTAAAGCTCCGAGACGACGACCCGGAAAGCGCTGGGCGAGTTGGTTGACGCAAGAATTCCTGTGTCATGGAGGGACCCCCGCCTTGGGTATCCTGCAAAAAGTTCATGATGATGGCTATAGTAAATAGTTGATATATGGTATACAGGCCTTTCTCCAAAAGAATATGGTAAAGGCTTTCATATTTGACCGACTGTTACCGGCCACGGAGCACACCGCACACCCGAATTCGAGTCGCCAGCCCACACGCCCAAAGAAACCCGACAAAGGAAAACCCAAGAAAGCTGAAATCCGAAGCTCCTGCCTTTCGAAAGGCCAGGCGGCTATATACTATATGATATATATATATACATATATATATATTATATATATATAAGACATCACACACACACAAGACCACAAGACGGCAGGACGGTCCGTCTCGCGCTCGAAGACAAGCTTAAGACCCGAAAAAACTCAGCTCGGCATGGCCCGTTTTAGACCGGCCTTGAGCTCCAGAAACTCGAATTGTTGGAGCAAGTCACGGCCTCGGTCGACAAAAACCGTTTTCGGATGTGACTCGGCAGCTGGGTCGACGTCGACCGGACACGATCAAAGCATGGCAGCCATGCTATAATGAAGAACGTGGACACCAACATGAGAATATCATTGCTAAATACTGGCACCTGGAATCAGTGCTGGACCAATTCACATCTACAAATTCCTGAGCCAATATGAGCCAATGTGAGCCCTTCCCCGGAGGCCACCAAAAACCTAAGCGTTCCATTCTGCTTCTACTTGACACCAGGAACTTTAAATACCAGCTCCTACCAGCTCTTCGCCCGGAGCGGAGAACGCGGAAGACTTTTTGGGCTCCGCGGTCGGCTGCGCTTCGTGGTCTCTGCATGTCTCAGTTCATGGGCTCCTCACGCCGTCGCCGCGCAGGGACGGCGTCGCCGGAGGTTCGAGAAAGGAAAAAGAAGTCCTACAGAGCTAGCTGGTTTGGAGGGGCCTTTGACTAAGGAGTTGCTCAAAAAAGTCAAGGTGATGGGGGTGTGCCCTAAACCAATATCGAACCTGCTATGTACTTCCGAGTCTCTGTGACTCTTCCCAACTCTCCAAAGTCGGTCTCTAAAACACCATCCCAACGATTCCGCCACTCCAAAGCGACCTTCCACATCAGATCGACAGCTCACGTCTGCACTTCACTTCCACTTCACCTCACCTTGACCTCTCCCCACCCCCAGTGCCCGGTCGCCCCGCTCGCGCGGCGTCACCCTCTCCAGCGCCGGTGCCGCCGCTGCCGTGCCGAAGAAGCGCAGCCGCCCGTCGTCGGCGCAGCTGCAGAGGAGCCCGTCCGAGCCTCGGGGCGTCTGGTGTCTCGGTGTCTCGGTGTCTCGGACGAGGGGTGTGGATGAGGATGGAAACGGTCGATGGCAGGAA